ATCACAAGCGGAAGTCAAACAACGCCCTTTTGGAGTTGGTAGCCTAGAAATCAGCTGACAATGGCTCTTAAGATGCTACACACTGGTTTGTTTTTTGTAGTTTTTTTTGGTTTTTTTTTTTTTTTTTTTAAATTAGTTGGGGAACAATGTTTTTTGTTGTTGTAGAGATGAACGATGGATTCATTCAAACACTGTAGCTGCACGATGATTTGAAATGGTTCGATTCTATTCCCGGTAGCGCCGTGAACCAGTTTCTGCAACAAAAAAAAAATAAAGAAAGAAAAAAAAAGTATGCATCATTCATGTGCTTTGTGTTACTCCTCGTGTTAGTTAACGGTCGGCAATATACTATTGAAAGGGAAAATGGACTCTTTCACCCTATCCGAGGGGGATCGGCAATATACTATCGAAAGGGAAAATGGACTCTTACACTCAAGCCGAGGGGGATCGGGAATATAATATCGAAAGGCAAAATGGACTCTTACACTCAAGCCAAGGGGGATCGGCAATATACTATCGAAAGGTAAAATGGACTCCTACACCCAATCAAAAATTGGGGGGAGGGGGGGGGGAGAAAAAAAAAGATCAATAATTAAACGCTATGAGAGTTGTTTTTGGTTCTTTGAGAGCATCGCTCAGGTTAAGACTTGGACTCATTCTCATCTCTAGTTTGGACTCCATATAAGATTGTTGCCTCTCTCTTCAGGCGCCTCTTCAGTTAAGTTACCTGATCAAGCAACGGGACATCGAACGTCTACAGAAAGAACTTTTTTTTAGCCCAACCCCCCTTCTCCCTACCCCTAACGTCAGTGAGGTCTCCCCCCTATGGTGCGTGTTCTTTGATTAGTTAAATTCCCATTATTCTTGTATCATTCGTATCCAATATACTAACATATACTCTTCTGCATTGTCGGGCAAAATAAATGGATTTGCTTCCCATCCCAGATCGTTGGGGGATCCTTGACAACACATTCAGGACACACACACACACAGACAAGACATTCAGGACACACACACACACAGACAAGACATTCAATTGTGCAACGGCTGCGAGTAGTACTCACTGTTAGCGACGGCTAAATGCTATTGTCTGTTGACGTTTCTGAGTTGCTGAAAAGTACAGAGTTGTAGCTAACGTTAAGGTTTGTGACACGAGAGTTCACACAATGTATCAGCATTTTTGGACCGTAGCTATGGAACAGGGGAGGTAATGCTAATCGAAGATCTAAGTCCGAATTTTTTTCTTTGGGTTGTCTCGCTTTGTACGTCTTTTGTTTCTCTTTATTTCTCTAAGATTTTAACGTCCGATCAGCTTTTAAAAAAATGTATTATCATTAATTTTTTTGTTTTTTTGCACTTTGTCCTTACTGCCTAAAAACATAAACATGAAATCAAAATGTATTTTTAAAAAAAAATTGTAACAAAGTAGATGAACATCGCCAACGTCATCTGAACATCACCAACGACATCTGAACATCACCAACGACATCTGAACATCACCAAAGACATCTGAACAGCACCAACGACATCTGAACATCACCAACGACATCTGAACATCACCAACAACATCCACATCACGTATTTGAGTTATTGAACATCATCACCACCGACAGCAACAACATGACGTCACCACGCGATCACAGCGTCTGATAAATATTTTAATTCCTATTACAAGCGGTTCTAAATCTAATTCAGTGGTTCTTAACCTTTTTGAAGGTACCGAACCCCACCAGTTTCATATGCGCATTCACCGAACTCTTCTTAATAGGAAAAATATAATATGATTTTTTTTCTGATTTTTTTTGGACCTCCGCAGAACCCTTGAAACTGACTCACCAAACCCCTGGGGTTCGATCAAACCCAGGCTAAGAACCAATGATCTAATTCAGTCTGGGATGGAAAGCAAATTTCGACCACATGTTCAGGGACAGAAAACTATAAAATTATCAGCGACAAAAACGATTTCAAAAAAAAAAAAAATCTGTTTGAATTAGAAACTCTAGCAATGAAAAACTCTGCTTTTGTTGGCCAGTTGTTGGCCACAAGTTGGTTAAACTCTGCTTTTGTTGGCTGGTTTTTAGCCGCTAGGTTGGTTAAACTCTGCTTTTGTTGGTCGGTTGTTAGCCGTTAGGCTGGGTAAACTCTGCTTTTGTTGGCTGGTTTTTAGCCGCTAGGTTGGTTAAACTCTGCTTTGTTGGCCGGTTGTTAGCCGTTAGGCTGGTTAAATGCAGCGCTCTGGGACGCCTCACCTGGTGTCCAGAAGCGTGAAGTCCTCAGCTGACCTACATTCCACACCTGCGCGGTCAGACGCCAGCGATGTCCTCAAGATGCCCTGGGGCTCCTGGCCGAGCAGCTCGTCGCCATCTCCATCATTTCTCTCTAGCACAATGGAACGTTCGGGCTGCTTCAGTGAGTTGGCGCTTGTTTGAGATGGACAGGGAATAGAACAGTGTGTATTATAGGATACGGAACGTTGGGGCTGCTTCAGTGAGTTGGCGCTTATTTGAGATGGACAGGTCATAGAACAGTGTGTATTATAGGATACGGAACGTTGGGGCTGCTTCAGTGAGTTGGCGCTTGGTTGAGATGGACAGGGAATATAACAGTGTGTATTATAGGATACGGAACGTTGGGGCTGCTTCAGTGAGTTGGCGCTTGGTTGAGATGGACAGGGAATAGAACAGTGTGTATTATAGGATACGGAACGTTGGGGCTGCTTCAGTGAGTTGGCGCTTGGTTGAGATGGACAGGGAATATAACAGTGTGTATTATAGGATACGGAACGTTGGGGCTGCTTCAGTGAGTTGGCGCTTGGTTGAGATGGACAGGGAATAGAACAGTGTGTATTATAGGATACGGAACGTTGGGGCTGCTTCAGTGAGTTGGCGCTTGTTTGAGATGGACAGGGCATAGAACAGTGTGTATTATAGGATACGGAACATTGGGGCTGCTTCAGGAAGTTGGCCCTTTTGGTAAAGAATAGGGAATAGAACAGTGCGTAATAATTGGCAGTAATGACAAGATAGGGAAAATGGACAAATGAGCAGTGGACCAGAACGACCCAATAAGCATTTGGACGGTATTTGAAAAAGTAAGCAGTGGATCAGTTTTCGGAAAATACACAACATTAACAAATAATTAATGGTACAGCATGGAAAAATAAGAAGTTGGACTGGATGGAATAATAAACAGTGAGACAGTATGGGCACATAAGCCGTATTAGAGTATGGCAAATTATATTTCTTTCAAATGAAAAAAAAAGAGTAATTTAAATGAAGAAAAAAAAACAATGTACAAAACCAAACTTGTTACCGAACGGGCACATACCCACGACAGAGAATGAGATGTTTTGACCAAGAGAGACAGGGGTGATCGGTCTATAGTGACGTGCATTTCCAGACAGCTCAATTTAAGAGTGCTTTGATGGTAAATTTTGAACACAAGAATAGCCCTCCCTAATGTCATTGCAGACGTCCCGCATTGCTTGGGCAATTTCAATACCCTTTAATTATTTAAAATATTAGTGCGCTAAGAATTTTGAGATATTATTTTTTACCAGGAAACTTCAATGGCATCATTTTTTTCCCCTCCGGGTATCGTCAGTCTCCACACTAAACTTCAGACATTTGATTATTTTTGTGTACCAGCCTAGAAGTTGGTCTCTAAAGATTCCCACCGAAAGTCCAGCAACACGCTAAGGTCGTGTGTTGGTATAAGAAGAAGAGGCCGAAACTCCTTGCCCCCCCCCCCCACGTTTTCTACGTATCAGGAAAAGAGTTAGAAGGTTATTTGTTTCGTTTCCTTCCGATTCCTACAAGTCCAACTGGAAGGCTCGTATTTTAAAATATTCACTTTAAAAAAAAAGTTGTATTTTTTAACTTAAAAAGATTTTTAAAAAAAAACTTTAAAAATGTGAAGTCTGTTTACCTTAGGAGCGCCTTGCCTCCCCTAGAAAACAATAGGTGGCACCACGAAACAAAATTTCTGAACGTGAAATTGAAGTTTGGGGTTGTGGCCACGGTATTTTCCCAGGTGACGCCTCTGCCATTTTCAACAGGAGGGTCTGGAAAGTTTACAAGTAATTATTGAAGATTTAGAAAGAAAAAAAAGATTAAAGACCTTGAACTGTGCTTTGAAATAATTGTCTTGATTTTGCTGATTAGATTGCAATAAATAATGATAATCATTAATCTCACTGACCGGGCTGAGGAGAGTGTGGAGTCTCTAACTTGACTGGGAAGAAAAGTTATAGAGTTTTAAATGGCGAGGATTTCTTTCTAGGGTCAAAGATCTTGTGAATTAATTATCAAGCTGTTAAAGGGTGAATTCCGTCTTTAAAACTTCGACACCTTTTTTTTTTTTTTGGCCTCATTAAGATAAAGGCATACAACTTGTTATCTATAGAAAACAATCAATGCAGCTTATCTAATGAGGCGTGGCAACCCCCTCGTTGCTAAGATAAACAAAACCAAGGGAAAGAACCACAACACCATTGCCAATAATTACTATGACACAACTAATCGTCATGGCAAAATGGACGTTGATCAAAAGTTGATGACACGGGTGCTTTGAGACCGTGGCCTGGGCCTGCCTAGCTAGGGTTTCGCGCTACATGGGCATGGGCGGGCAACGGATTTTTAAGCAATTCCTTTCCAAGAAAATAAAAGCTCCACAGTTTCCCGAAAATGCCGCCCTTCCATATAAAGTGCCGTGGCCCCCACCATCGCCCCTCCATATAAAGTGCCGGGGCCCCCACCATCGCCCCTCCATACAACGTGCCGTGGCCCCACCATCGCCCCTCCATATAAAGTGCCTGGGCCCCCACCATCACCCCTCCATATAAAGTGCCGGGGCCCCCACCACCCCACCGCCCCTCCATATAAAGTGCCGGGGCCCTCACCATCCCCCTTCCAACGTCACTCCTTTTGGGGATGTTGAGGTGCTAAGGCCTTGGTACCAGCTATTGTTCAAACTAATGTTTTGTTAACAGTTCACACAAAAGCACTTATTACCCCCTAATTCTTGTCCCCAGACCACATACAACACGATCCAATAGTGACAACAAGTCCCATACATTGTAAACGAACTAGACATTCATTTACTTACTGTTCCTTGGGATAGTTATAGAGATATGTTTGCCGAAGACCGAAAAGTACATTCTGTCCAACGGCTCTGGTACGCTCATCTGTTGAATGCTGCCTCCAAGCACGGGCAGGAAGTGAGTGTTTTCTCTCTGGTTCCATAATGAACGGTGCGCATTGGCGCGGGGTGCAGTTCTGAAGATGTCATTTCAGATGTTCGAGTTGCCAATGCCAGTGGCATAGGAAGGGTGGGCTGAAAGAGCACCCCACCCCCCCCCCCGTGGGGACAGGGGGGTGTCCTTTTTCATTTTGTGGAGGCGTGGCATTTTGTGGCCCATTGCAGACTTTTTATCGTGAAAGGGGGAGGCAAAATCTTAGAATCACCATGCACAAATTCGGAGGTTTTTATGGAAGGGTTTAACCTCTTCCCAGAAAATGTTTGATAACTTTGAAGTCAGGACGTGCAGTGTGGCGTGTACCTGATAATCAGTGTTTCTTTCAGAAAATTTGATCCAGGGAGGGGACATTTCAGGCGCAGTTGGGGGGGGGGGTGGCGGGGCAGGGCATCTATCAACATGCAAAATTAGCGTTTTGGCATACATAACGTTATTTCAGTTCGGTTATAGCATGCCCCAGGGTATTCTTTTTGACGCAAATTAGTTTTGCCTCTGTACTATACACGATGATCGGCTTAGGGGAGGGGGGGGTGAGGCAGCAATCGAGTCCTTCCCATCGAATGCTGGGGGAGAGAGTCNAAAATTAGCGTTTTGGCATACATAACGTTATTTCAGTTCGGTTATAGCATGCCCCAGGGTATTCTTTTTGACGCAAATTAGTTTTGCCTCTGTACTATACACGATGATCGGCTTAGGGGAGGGGGGGGGTGAGGCAGCAATCGAGTGCTTCCCATCGAATGCTGGGGGAGAGAGTCTGAGTGTGTGTGTGTGTGTGGGAGGGGTCAATGAGCCTTTCCACATAAAATTTAAGATACATTTTAAAAAAAGTGATGCATTTTGGCGCTTACCTAAATTTAGCTTTGCATCACTGTGCACTTAAGTGGAGAGCAACATATTTTAAGTGTCTCTTGAACTTGTTGTGTGTATAAAAAAACTATATTTTAAGTTTCTACTAAATTAAATAGCATTGTAATGTATTAATATAAAAAAATAACTCTTTATTTCTTTAAAATTCATTCATTAATAATCATAAAAAATTTCCGTACAAAGAGGTGGCCGTCATGAAAAGCAAATATACTAATTACCTTCCTAAATATCTTCAAGTTATACCAGATTAAAAAAAAATACAAAAAGAGAAAAAATACTATTTGTAGAAGAGGTTTAAAAGACAACTTTTATGAATTGTTTATAAATGGCAAACATTCTACTAGCAGCTATATCTTTTAAGCGTAATGACTATATACATAATGCTCTATTTTAAAAATAGATCTTATATTGTTAAGAAACAGAAATTCACAACAAATGCCATTACAGCGATCGAAATTTAATTTAATTCGGTATGAGCTGTGGCGTTTTGCACTTCTCAGCCCAATGAAGATTTTTAAACTGGTGTACAAAATAATAGTCTAACAACCTAAAAAAATATTGAGCATAGTGACTATTCATTGGCTCCACATTTCCCTCATTTTAATAGATTAAAGTATTCACAGCTCTTAAAAAATGTTATATAAATGACAATTTTATTGTTCTTTTTATCATTATATTGAACTTTATTCTTAACACGTCTTTTTCCGGGGTTGGGGCGGGCAGATGATTTGCCCCCCCCCCTTCCCCCCCTCCCCCCCCCCAAATACCGCTATAAATGAAATACGGGAAGTAGTGGTGCGGCTTAAAATAGAGGGCGGCCCATTTTTGGAACAATAAAACGGTTATTGGAATCGAATACAATACAGGGATCTCGATTTGTCTTAAATAGATCGGATCATAAAATATATTGATCTAAGCGATATTTTATTGGTTTCACGATTTCTCTAAATTTTAGGAAAAGAATTATAAACGTTAGAAATATGGTGATTTTTTTTTTTTTTTTAGTTTTGTTTTTTTGGTAAAGATTATTGCAAGTTGTAAGTATTTTTCTCTGTGGGGAACCGGGACTTGACTTTCTCCGTGGGGACGGGTGGGGGGGGCACTCCATCCCCACCCCGGAGAGATTCCTGAAATAAAAACTGCTGGTATGCAAACAGGACAACTTGCTCATTATTCATATATATATATATATCAAGCAATATACTTATCCAAATATGAAGGAAGGTGTGGAGTAATGGTGAGCTCAATAGGGTGTACAGAAATATTTCCGATAACTGCGCTAAGTATTTAAAAAACAACAAAAAACAACAAAATACACCGCTAGTGCATTGGGTGCGCAATCTTTTCTTGTGTTGAACGGAAACAGCCTCAGTTGATGCATGATGGGATAGATGGTCTGTGTGAAATTGGGGGTGGGACATTAGCCTCAGTTGATGCATGATGGGATAGATGGTCTGTGTGAAATTGGGGTGGGATATTAGGCTATAAATACAGATCAGGGGCGTGAAGAAAATGTTCAGTGGTGGACTTGCCTGGGGGGGGGGGGGGAGGGT